TTTAAGGAGATTGTTCAGCACGGTTTGGTTGACTTTGAAGCTATGGCTGAACACGAGCATCCAGAAGGACCTCCTCCAGCTCACGGGGCAGCAGGAAGGGGCAATGGAAACCCCCAACACGCGGCTAGACCCCCAAGGATCATAGGAGCTGGAGATGCTCCCAATACTCATCACAATAGGTTTGGGATCACTCCTCCTCTTGTGCAAAACAATAACTTCGAGATCAAGCCAGGTTTCATCTCAATGGTGCAAAACAACAAGTTCCACGGTTTAGCAATGGAAGACCCCTTGGAGCACCTAGACAACTTCGAGCAAGTATGTGGGATGATAAAGATCAATGGCATATCCGAAGATGCTTTCAAGCTGCGTCTCTTCCCCTTTTCACTCGGAGACAAAGCCAGACATTGGGAGAAGACCCTCCCACAAGGCACCATCACATCATGGGCCGAGTGTAAGAAGGCCTTTCTCTCAAAGTTCTTCTCAAGCACCAGGACAGCACGGTTGAGAAGCGAAATCAGCGGTTTCACTCAAAGGAACAATGAGACATTCAAGGAGGCAATGGAACGTTTCAAAGACTACATGATCCAATGTCCTCATCACGGGTTCAGCGAGGAGACACTACTCAGTACCTTATACCGTGGAGCTTCACCAAAGATCAGGTTGTTGCTTGACACAGGAGGTAGAAGAGGGTATGGAGCTGATAGAAAACTTGGCATTGAGTGATGGCAATTACGCTGAGGATTATGACCGTGCACCGAGAGGATCAGAGTTAGAGTCTCACAAGAAGGAGCTCAAATCTTTGCATGAGAAGATAGATAAGCTGGTGTTAGCCAATCAGATGCATGTTCACTTTGTTGGTGAAGCTGATGAGAACCAAGAGGAGTTAGAGTTAAGCCAAGAAGAAGCCAATTGGGTAGCGGGACAGAACAACTACAAATCTCAAGGCTACAACCAAGGCTACCAGAACAACAACCTCTCTTACCGAAGCACCAACGTAGCCAACCCTAAAGATCAAGTGTACCCTGCTCAGCAAGCAAAACCTTTCATCCCTTACAACAAAGGTTTTCAACCGAGTGGTGGTTTCCAAGGTCAAGGGCAGAACAACTTCCAAGGGCAACATCAAAATAACAAGGGTTATACACCTAACTATCCTCCGGGCTTTGCACCTCAGCAGCAACAACAGATGCAACAACAAGTTGATCCGTTCCAAGCAATGTTTCAACAGCTAATACAAGGGCAAGCCTCTACAAACCAGAAGTTCGCCGAGATGAACACTCGTCTAGACTCGTCTCTCACTGACTTCTCCACTCAGATCACCAACTTAAACAACAAGATCAAGCAGCTAGAGAAAGGGAAAGCAAGTACGAGTGGTCAGAACAGTCTTCCGGGGTAGTGTGAGCAGAATCCCAAGGAGTATGCTAATGCCATAACGTTGAGAAGCGGCAAAGAGCTCGAACCTCCGGTCTCTAACAAGAACAACGAGGACGTTGTAATTCAAGAGGGGGAGGTTAAACCTTCGGCTGATGATGATGAGATTAACTTTGACAACGTTTGGATCCAAGGACCAAGAAGAGGAGACAAAGAAGTTGCTGAGAAGAAAGCTGAGCAAACCACTAAGGAGAAGAATGCTTATGTGCCTCCACCTTATGTACCTAAGCTGCCTTTTTCTGGCCGCTTCAAGAAGCAACTCATAGAGAAGCATAGAATCCTCTTTGAGAAGCACCTTAAGGACGTGGAGATCAAGCTACCTCTCGTTGACTACCTTGCAATGATGCCTAAATGCGCCAAATTCTTCAAAGGCACTCTCGTGAAGAAGAACAAGGAAAGCAAGGAGGTACTTGTTCTAAGTGAAGAGTGTAGTGCTGTGATACATAAGGAGATAGTCCCTAAGAAGTTGGAAGATCCTGGAAGCTTCACTATACCCTGCGCTTTAGGTCCTCTAGGATTCAAGAGTTGCTTATGTGGGATGATCAAGATTAATGGCATATCCGAAGATGCTTTCAAGCTGCGTCTCTTTCCATTTTCTCTTGGAGACAAGGCTAGACATTAGGAGAAGACACTTCCATAAGGCACCATTACCTCTTGGGCTGAGTGTAAGAAGGCGTTCCTCTCAAAGTTCTTCTCTAGCACAAGAACAGCAAGGCTGCGAAGTGAGATTAGTAGCTTTACTCAAAGGAACAATGAGACATTCATTGAAGAGACTCTCCTAAGCACCATCTACCGCGGAGCATTGCCCAAGATCTGGTTGCTACTTGATACGGCTAGTAAAGGCAACTTCCTTGGTCAAGACGTAGAAGAGGGCATGGAGATAATCGAGAACTTGGCATTGTGTGACAGCAACTATGCTGAAGACTATGACCGTGCACCTCGCGGTTCCGAGCTAGAGTCTCACAAGATAAGTCACTTCACGAGAATATAGACAAGTTGGTGCTTGCTAATCAGAAGCATGTTCACTTTGTTGGTGAAGCGGATGAAGTCTTAGAGGAGCTAGACTTGAGCCAAGAAGAAGCTAACTGGATTGCTGGTCAAAACTACAACAAGAATCAGGGTTACTCACAAGGCTACCAAGCGAACAACAATCTATCTTACAGGAGCACAAATGTAGAGAACCCTAAAGATCAGGTGTACCCCACTCAGCAAGCAAAGCTGTTTGTTCCTTACAACAAGGGTTTTCAAGCGAACAGCGGCTTTCAAGGGCAGAGGCAAGGGAACTTCCAGCGTCAGCAGCAGCAGCAAGGCAATAAAGGTTACAATCCTATATTTCCTCCCAGCATTGTTCCTCAACTACAACAAATGCAACCGTAACAACAAGACCCGATCCAAGCTATGTTCTAGCAGTTGCTTCAAGGTCAAGCTTCCACTAATCAGAAGTTTGCCGAGATGAACAACTGTCTTGACTCCTCTCTCACTGGCGTCTCAACTCAGATTACAAACCTGAACAATATGATCAAGCAGTTAGAGAAGGGAAAGGCTACTACAAGAGGTCAAAGCAGCCTACCCGGCAAGTGTGAGCAAAATCCCAAGGAATACGCCAATGCCATTACACTAAGGAGTGGCAAAGAACTTCCACCGCGAGTTGCTCCTAAGACCAATGAGGACATTGAGATTCAAGAGGGGGCGGGTAAGCTTTCAGCTGATGAGGAGATCAACTTTGATAATGTATGGATTGAGAGACCAAAAAAGGGTAAAGAGGTATCCGTAGAGAAGAAACTGGAGCAAGCTACTAAAGAGAAAGATGTTTATGTGCCTCCACCGTATGTGCCTATACTTCCTTTTCCTGGCCGCTTCAAGAAACAGCTGATAGAAAAGCATAGACTCTTGTTTGAGAAGCATCTAAGGGATGTAGAGATCAAGCTTCCTCTTGTTGATTGCCTAGCTATGATGCCAAAGTGTGCTAAGTTCTTCAAAGACACCCTTACAAAGAAGAACAAGGAGAGTAAAGAAGTCTTGGTGCTTAGTGAAGAGTGTAGTGCTATTATTCACAAGGAGATTGTCTCTAAGAAGCTAGGAGATCCAGGATCATTCACCATTCCTTGTGCTTTGGGTCCATTGAAGTTCAAGAGCTTCTTATGCGATTTCGGAGCAAGTATCAATCTCATGCCCCATTCTATAGCAAAGAAGCTAGGCTTCACACGGTTCAAGGAGTGTAGGATCTCCCTTGTGTTAGCGGACAGGAGCGTGAGACTTCCAGTGGGTTTGCTAGAAGATCTTCCAGTGAGGATAAGCGATGTCAATGTACCAACCGACTTTGTTGTGCTTGAATGGATGAGGAACCTAAGGATCCGCTTATACTTGGAAGGCCATTCCTGCAACCGCCGGAGCAATCATCGATGTCTAAAACGGGAAGATAACTCTGCACCTTGGCAAAGACATAAAGCTGGATTTTGACATCAATGAGGTCCTGAAGAAGCCAACCATAGAAGGACAAGCATTCTACATTGAAACGTTGGATGATTTGGCCGATGAACTGCTTGAAGAGTTGGCACAAGAGGATTACTTGAAGCTTGCTTTGACTAAGGAGAGAGAAGAGTACGGTTTCTTGGATCAGAGGACTCAGGAGTACGTTAATCTCCTTGATTCTAAGAAAGTTGTTATAGAAGATGAAGGCGGATACCTAGAGATCGATAAGGAAATCGAGAAGATCACTCGATCCAGGATAGCAATCGACAAGAAGATCGAGGAGACTGGTCGATCCAGCAAAACAATCGATGGGAAGATCGAGAGAAGCCAATCGATCAGTTCAGAGAACAAAACGGAGACTCGATCTCCTGCTCGATCCACATCAAATGGAGTGGGTAAATCGAGTGAAGTTGCTCGATCCGGACCAGAACGAGTGCAAGATCGACTAGATGACTCGATCTCAGAGGAGACAACGGTTCAATAAGGCAGTCTAAAGGATCATATCTCGGGTTCTAAGGAGGCTACTGAGGATGGGAACGTCAACAAGAGCCACGAGGAGGACTGGAGCGAGCTGTTAGCCCCAAAGGTGGACCTAAAGAAGCTCCCAAAAGGGCTAAGGTATGCTTTCTTAGGGCTTAATGATACCTATCCCGTGATTGTGAATGAGAACTTAAGTGATGATGAGTTGCACTCGCTCCTCAATGAGCTGAGAAAGTATAGGAAGGCCATTGGGTACTCTCTAAGTGACATCAAGGGCCTTTCACCAGTGCTTTGCACTCATTGGATTCACTTAGATAATGAGAACTCTTCTTCTATTGAACATCAAAGGCGTTTAAACCCAAATTTGAAAGAAGTAGTTAAGAAAGAGATTCATAAGTTGTTAGAGGCTGGCGTGATCTATCCCATAAGTGACAGCACGTGGGTTTCTCCTGTACACGTGGTACCTAAGAAGGGAGGGATCACAGTCATTGTTGGTGTTAGCTCGAGTTTCGATTCCGCCGTTCCTATTTCCTTCTCCGGATCCAGATCTAGATCCTCCGCCGGTTGCTCCTCCATACTTAATCTCGCTCTTAGTGTTTGTTGGGAAAGATCTCTCTTCGATGGGGTTATCGATGGGTTTTGTGGAGCTTATGAGGACTGAGTTCTCAATCCTATCCCACACTCGATCGCAGTCATCAGATCCTCCTATTCCACTGGATTCGAGCTTGCTGGTCTCTCCTCCTGACCCTCCTGGCCCTCCTGACCCACCGGATTCATCCCCCTCTCTCTGCGTTTTCATCAGCCATGAAGCTGCAACCTCTTCACTTTTCCCTGGATCCGCCCTAGTCTGCTTGGATCCTTGCCTCTCCAAACAACAACCCGCTCTGCTCCAGGACTGTCTTTCCAAAGGTATTCTCTTTGAGATTCTCTCTTTGGATTCAGCTCTATTCAGAAATTATCCTCTATGTGGCTTCGTTTACCTCTTTATGAGGCTTTGTTTACCTCTGTGTGAGGATTGGTTACAACTCTTATGTCTCTCATTTGTGGAGTTTTCAAAAGTGACGGTAGTTCTCAAAAACTTTTTATGTTATTTGCTTTGGCTTAGTATACTAACCCACAGTCAAGTTTCATCCTTTCTAGAGATGTCGGACCTTTCTTCTTTCCCTTTAGATGGGAAAAGTTATTTTTCAGAAGTAGCGATATGTAAGAGTTTTGGTCATGTTGAGGATAAAATCTATGTCCTTCTCCAATGTCCTTTTGTTGGATGTTGTTGGGACCTCATCTTTCGGTCCAAGCTCAGTGAAAACTCACAAGCTTCTCTGCAGTTGCTGCCTCAAGAAGCTATTGTTCTCCCTTTGGCGCTCAAGGATGCTCTCTCCGCAAGTTTTACTTTGCCCCAAGTGGTTTTGGACTCGGATGTCCTAGTTATTGCTCCTGTGTTGAGCACGGATCTGTTCGAGATAGCAGGCTCTCTACATGATGTACAAAGCCTTGTTATACTCTTCTCTTCCAATATTGATTCTGTTTTCTCTTATTTCGGCACTATGTATTGCAGTTGTTTTAATTTTGGTAACGTTTTCATTTGGATTTCCTCTTTGTATGGACCATCTTCGGATTAGTTGAATGAAAACAAACCCTTTGACCAAAAAAAAGAGTTAAGACAATGTTTTACAATTGTGTCACTCTTTTTAAAATTGTTGGCTTACTCATTAAGATCCAATGTTTGGTGAAATGACTTTTTCTGTGAGAATTTACAGCTTTCTCATCTATCCTCATCTTTCATTTAGGCTTGCTTCTGCGCTCTAATTGATGGTCTACTAAAAAAATTTGACATGTAAATAATTGACATCATTTATGTTTGATTGATAGTTGAAGATTGGAGAAATTAGGATCAGTTGCCACACATATCGTTACGTGCCGCTGTTATTCATATAGCACCAAAATGCAAAGCTTCATTTGGATAATTCTCATTAATAACTGCAGGAGACGATTCACAAGCTTTGATTTGGGATATTTCCTCCATGGGGCAGCACGTTGAAGGTGGTCTTAACCCTATTCTTGCTTACACTGCTTGTGCTGAGATTGATCAGCTGTAATAGTCCTCCTCTCAGCTTGATGTGAAGCTGTGAATTCTCAGGATGTCAAATTACACACCTTTTTGCGGTTTTATGCTTGATTTTCTTCTAAGGAGGTTTACTTTGAACATTTCTTCTTTGTCTAGTAAGGATCATATATAGTTCTCTAATTATATGAATTTGATAGATTATAGGTCTACGTAACTGTTTGAGTTATTTAACATGTCAGATTTACAGTTGACTATTTAGTATAACCAGTGCTATTGTTTGAATTATTGGTTAACCTGTTACTGCTACTAAGACAAATTTTTTGCCAGTTCTGCTGAATTAGGCAAAATCAATGCCTAAAACTTTTATCAATTTTGTTTGCTCGAAGGAATGAGACAGTTTGATGTTACTAAATTTTGCACTGGTACATCAATTGCTTACTGCGAGGCAAGAACTAAGTCATGCTTTGTATCAGGTAATTATGATTATGTGGATGTGCATTCACATGTATATGACTTACATGTATTTATTATGTAGTTCACTTTCTTTTCCTGGGCGTTTTCACTAATTATTAGCGATGAAGGTAATTGATGGATTTTTTGAAGGATACAGTTTTTGTTCTTGTTGTGTGATTGCTAGCCAACATATTCAATAGTCAAAAAAATTCAGTCAGTTTCATTGGGTGGAATAGGCATAATCCAAGTTGTGACATCCTGGGCCCAAACTCATATAATATTTGGTGCAGAAAACCAATTTCTGGAGAAAAGCCTACTTAGCCCAGGCCCAATACGAGTTTGACATAGGGTTCCTGTAGCATCCGTATCCAAGAAAATTCAAAATGATCGAGCTGGACAGGGCATTGTCCGAGGAATGATCGAGCCAAGAACAGATATTAGCTGGGAACTGGGAGGTTCAGACTAAGGTCGGGTGATGACTGGGAAATAGTCGGACGGATGGCTGGGATAGCTAAGCCGGATGGACCATATCCAAGAGAAAATGGTCCAATCCGTGAGAAAAATGGGATTTATCCGAGTGATAGTGAGGTTAGTACGAGTGACAGTGTACTGTCTCTGAAGGAAAGAGGAAAACCTCCGAGAGGAAAAGAAGATTAGCCGAGGTGGGACAAGTTGTCCGACATAAAAGGAAATATCCGGGTGGAAAATAGAAATAACTTGGATAAGGGCGGTTTATCCGAGAGGGAAGGGATTTGGGCCGTAGGCCAAGTGAGTATGTCGGCTATTTTGTGGTTTATCCCATGGATGGTCAGTCGGCATGGGTAATAGCCGAGAGAATCTAGTTGGTTCGGGATAAATCCTACTAGAACCAGGAAAACATTGGTTAAGTCCGAGTTACCTAGGGTTTTGCGAGTATATAAGGATTTTTGAGATTGAACTCGAGGGTGTTGCGTTTATTTGAGCTAAATAATGAAAATAGAGAGTTTAGTCGAGAAAAAACCCTAAGAAAAGAATTTTATCTCGAGGACATCCGAGAGAGACTGAGCTATCGCCGAGCAGATCCGACCATTGCCGAGATAAATCGGTAAGCAACTGAATAATTCTCTAAGTGTTGAGATTTCTTCGGATAACCTCGAGCTAATAGCCTTGTTTGGTGGGGTTTCTGAGGGTAAATAGAGTTCGGCTCGGAGAAAGGTGAGTGGATCAAGAAATAGCCAAAGGGAAAGGGATCGGATCGTACAGACAGCCGAGAGATTCCTAGGGTGGTCGGATAGCTTTGATTTGGTGCGGATTTCATCAGGATTTCTTCTGACCAATCTGTTTCCAACTTTGATTAAGGTGAGTGCGTGACTGTGGTTGGTTTCCAGGATCGTTGGATTGCTAGGGTTTGATGTTTTGCATGTTTGATTGTGTGATTGTCATGTTGTGTGTTTAGAAATGTTAAGCGGTTATGTGTTATGGTATTGTGAGGTGTTTACCGTGGCATAGATGATGTCTAGCTAACCTCAGGGTAATCCGGATCATGTACTAGCTTAGGGGATGTGAGATTCTCGCTGAAGTAGATATGGGTCTTAAAAAGGGATTGATCTTCGGTTGTTAGGTTAGATGATCATAGCCGTTTGATATGTATGTTATGTCTATTGTGAATTGATTGTGTGTGATGTTGAATCTGATAGTATGAATGCATGATTGGTACTGACCAGGTGTTACGGGATGACGGTACTCACTAAGTATTTATCAAATACTTATGCCTCTCTTCTTGAGTGTGCATGTAATAACTAGTAAAGGGAGCGAGACTGGCGGCAGTGGTGGACATGGATGGATTGGGGATTGGGTGTTTAATTATGTTTAAGACGAGTGCTTTGTCTTATGATCTTTGGTGTTTAGCGTTTTAGATTGCTAGATGATATGATGTTATCGTTAGCGAACCATGGTGCTTTGTTTAAGTTAACCTTGAATCCTGTTTAAGTATTTTTATTTAAGTTACAATGAAATGAAGTTGTTCTTTATTCCGCTTTATATTGGTTAAATGCAAAGAAAAGGTTTAAAATTTGGCTAAATATAGAAACCGAACTGTTAGGATATAGTGGGGCACGGCTGCAGTATGGTTTGCCGGTCGGGCTACCACAAGTTGGTATCAGAGCATTTTAAGGCTTCTAGGACTGAATGTTGGTGACTGTTGTTGTTTGTTTGTTTGGGGCTTAAGGGGATCTTCACTGCCAAGGTCTGGCGGTAAGGTTTTGTGTGTTGTGTTGTGAAACACGTTTTGAGTTAGCTTCGGCTAACTGGCATGATTGTACTTGCAGATGGTTGATACCAGGAAAACCATGAGAAATCATGAGCACCAACAGGCTGCTGGGTCTGTGAACTCAGTAAACGGTGATGTTTCTGAGAGGGCAAGGGAAGCCGAGAGACAGGCAGCTGCGGTTGCAAATGAGGCGGCTAGAGTGGTAGCCGAGGTTGCATCAAGGAATGTTGCGGATGCTGAGAACGTGGCAAGGAATGCTGCGGGTGCAGCGGGTGCAGCTGGGATTGCTGCGAATGTTGCACCGGTGGGGTTAGAGGCTGTGCTTGGGATGCTGGCACAGGTACTGGCCAGACTACCTGCGGTGGCTCCTGCTCCGGCGGTTGCAGCAGCACCACAGGTGGTACCACCATTTGGTGTTAATCCGGATGTGGTTGGTGAGGAAGCGGACCAAGTGGAGAGGGTTCCGAGTTACCTCAAGGTTTTGGATCACATGGTGCGGTTGGGAACCAAGTTCTTTGCTGGAGGTTCTACACCGATTGAGGCAAATGAGTGGAAAATGAGACTGGAACAGAATTTGAGTCTATCCGATGTCCAGAGGGTTATAAGAGGGACATAGTCGTGCACTACTTGGAGGGTGATGCACACACGTGGTGGAAAGGAATCGTTGGAAGGCTGGTGAATGCGAATTGTTTGTATGAGACATTTTCAGCGATGTTCAGGAGTAAGTACTTCCCACAGGATGCTTACAACGAGTTAGAGAAGGCGTTCTTGTACCTTAGTCAGGAGATGCTTACAGTGAGGCAGTATGAGACTCAGTTTAACCAACCGGGGAAGTATGTGTCTCATGAGTTTGACACAGAGGAGAAGCTGATTCGTAGGTTTATGAGTGGACTGCGAGTCGAGCTAAGGAATGGATGTGTGGTCCGTGACTTCAGGACAGTAGCTGAGCTAGTTGAGAAGGCGGCATTGCTGGAGTCAGGGTAGGTGGAAGCTGCTTTATTGACAGCTGGGGCAAGTACAGCCATGACCAAGGCGGGTCAGTCTAGTGGACAAAACCAGATGTTCGGGAAAGGAGTACCGAACAAAGGATATGGGGGACGCAGCGTGTGCAGCAAGTGTGGCAAGGCTCACGTTGGTGAGTGTAGACGTGGTGGTAGTGGATGCCATAAGTGCGGGAGTTTAGAGCTTCGGGTACGAGACTGTCCGAAGGAGAATTTGCGAGTGGTTCGAGTGTCCGGCAGTGACAGTGCGGTTCGGGTGTGCTACTGTTGTGGAGAACCGGGTCATATCAAGCATAAGTGTCCTATGGCAGGAGTGGTGGAGCAAGCCGTGGCTCAAGGGAAGCAAGCATCGGAGGCGCTTGCATCAGAAGCCAAGAGACAGGCCATTATGTCGAGGGTGTACACGACAAGTGCAGCAGCAGCTGAAGAACCGAGCACTTCTCATCCGATTACTGGTACGTGTGGTACATAAAGTTTTGTGAATTGCTTTTGCGTATTGTGTGTTAGTATAGAGTCTTAGCATTCTAGGGAATGAATGTGTAGGGACCTTGCTAATGGGTGAGGTTGAGACCCATGTTCTGTTTGACTCGGGAGCGAGTCATTGTTTTATTAATCCATGATCGGAAAGGGACAGTTCCAGAAGGAACCTGGAGAGGACTTTGGGTTAGTTCAGGCGGCTGGAGGCCAAGTGATGTTTTCACTAGGAACGGTCAATTATGTTCCAGTGATGTTTGGCGAAGTGAACATGCCAGCGGATCTAGTGATCTGTAGAGTTTAGTTATACGATGTCATCTTGGGGATGGACTGGTTAGGCAAGTATAGAGCTCATTTGGATTGTCACCGTGGAAGGGTGTGGTTTGAGAGAGACGGAGAGGTCTTGGTTTATCAAGGAGTTAGACCAACCTCAGGAAGTTTGGTGGTTTCAGCTATTCAAGCAGAACGGCAGATAGAGAAGAGTTGTGAGGTGTATCTATCAACGATCACTACCACAGAAGGAGGACCGGATGTTAACTTGGGCAGTATACCGGTGGTGCAAGACTTTGAGGATGTTTTTCAGGCGTTGGCTGGACTGCCACCAGCTCGTTCAGATCCGTTCACGATTGAATGAGCCGGGGACAGCTCAATTGTCCAAAGCACCATACCGGATGGCGCCAGCTGAGATGGCTGAACTAAAGAAGCAGCTAACGGAATTGCTGGACAAAGGATTCATTAGACCGAGCAGTTTGCCATGAGGTGCACCAGTGTTGTTCGTGAAGAAGAAGGATGGAAGCTTCAGGCTTTGCATTGATTACCGCGGATTGAGCTGTGTGACCGTGAAGAACAAG